CCATCTTGAATTACTGGAACTCCCTGTCAGTGTATTCTTAAAACCATTTTTGCATGGTCTTCGAAATTATTCTTGCATATGATACTAATAATATTGTTCAATTTATGGATTCTGTTGGGTTAACCTTTCTTTGGAATGGACACAAATGTCGATCTCTTGGCATAGATGAGTGAGTGCCTCCAGCGCTTCATCAGCTTGTTGAAACCTTTCATTTGGTGTTCTGCCAATCCCTGGAACCTTGTTTTGGGCTCATGCCTTCAGGGCAGTGTTCCATTTGTTCTTGATCATGTGCTACCTTTTAAAATGGTTGAACATTGACCGATTGTTTATGCTATAGTCACATATATAGTGTATATAATCGTATATAGAGAAAGACTAGGCTTTCTATTCCCGTAAACATCTACAACCTTGGAAACTCACAGGGGCAGTTCTATCTTGACCTATCGGGTTGCTATGAGTCAGAATTGACTCAATGTCATTGAGTTTGGTTTATAGTCATTATATAGCATATTCCTCCCCTTTTCTTTAATGCTTCCTGCATTAAGATTTTGCCCATAGTATCCTTCAATATAGCAACTCTAGGCTTAATTTTTTTCTTAAATTCTTTCAGCCTAATATTTACTTAGTATGTTTTTCCTTTTTGGCTTTCTAACTCAAGGTCTTTGTACATTTCATCATAATGCTCGACTTTGTCTTCTCGAGCTGCCCTTCGAAATGTACTGTTCAACCCTTTCCTTCATCATTTCATCCGTTTGCTTTAGCTACTCTGATCAAGGGCAAGTTTTACAGTCTCTTCTGACATCCACATTGATCTTTTCTTTCTTTCCTGTTCTTTTAATGACAGTTGCTTTCTTCATGTATGATGTTCTTGATATTATTCCACCTGTTAGGTCTTCAGTTATTAGTGTTCATTGTGCTAAATCTGATAAATGAGATATTCTCTAAATTCAGATGGAATACACTCAAGGTTGTATTTTAGCTCTTGTGCATCTGTTTTAATTTTCTTCAGCTTTAACCTGAACTTGCAATTGGTGTTTTGTTCCAAGGTTGTGCCTTGGCATTGTTTGGACTGATTATGTTGAACTTCCCCATTTGTCTCTTCCCATGACTCAACTCAACTCACTGCCATTGGGTTGATGCTAACTCATAGTGACCCTATATGGTCTCTTCCTGTAGATGTAGTTAGTGTGATTCCCGTATAGTCCATCTGGCAAGGTCCATTTGTACAGTCACAATTTATGTTGTTAAAAAAGAGATTTGCAATGCAGAAGTCGTTGGTCTTGCAAAATTTTATCATACAATCTCCAGTTCCAGTTCTTTCACCAGGCTATATTTTCCAGAAACTGTAGCTCGCTCTTTGTTTCCAATTCTCACATTTCAATCGCCAATAATTACAGTACATTTTGGTTGTATATTTGATCAATTTCAGACTTAAAAAGTTTGTATAATTCTTCAATTTCTTCATTACTAGTTTTGGTGGTTTGTGCATATACATTTGAGAAAGTGTACTAACTTCTTTGCACCCTGTTTCCCCAAAAGTAAGACATCCCCTGAAAATAAGACCTACTTACAGTTTTGCCTCTCGCTGAAATATAAGGCATCCCCCTGAAAATAAGGCCCCCTGAAGCTACCATAACTCATGACTCTGGACCGTCACGCCGCCACACAGCCAGAGCAGACAGGAAGTGCAAGGTCTCTTAATAAAACAGTAAACAATAAATGTGTACCATTTTATTCTTCATGGAAAAAAATAAGACATCCCCTGAAAATAAGACCTAGCGCATCTTTGGGAGCAAAAATTAATATAGGACACTGTCTTATTTTCGGGGAAACAGGGTAGATGTATTGATACTATCATCACTGATAGCGTTGTACTTCAAAATGGATTTTGAAATATTATTTGGTGGTGAAAGGGATGCCATTCCTCTTGGATTTGTCATTTGGAATAGGTAAGCTATAGAATTTCCAGATTCATTTTGTTCATTAGTGCCTAGAATATAGCATCTATATAGAATATAATGTAAAAGCCATGGTATTTACCACTGCATTTGAATTATGGTGCTCGTTTGGGGGAAGGCTTAGTAACACCCTACGGTATGCAGATGACACAACCTTGCTTGCTGAAAGGGAGGAAGATTTGAAGCACTTGCTGATAAAGATCAAGGATTACAAACTAATTACGGATTGCAATTAAATGTAAACCAAACTAAAATCCTCAACTGGAACAATAGGTAACATCATGATAAAGAGAGAAAAGATTGATGTCAAGGATTTTGTTTTGCTTGCATCGACAAGCAATGCTTGTGAAAGGAGTAGTCAAGAGATCAAGTGATGGCATTGCATTGGATTATTTTTACGGCACAAGACCTCTATAAAATGTTGAAAAGCAAGAATGTTACTTTGAGGACTGACATGCACCTGACCCAAGCCATGGTATTTACCATTGCATTTGAATTATGGTGCTGGTGAATAAAATTACCATGGACTCCCAAAAGAACAACCAAGTCTGTCTTGGAAGAAATACTGCCAGAATGCTCCTTAGATGCAAGAATGGCAAGACATTGTCTTATGTACTTTGGACATGTTGTCAGGAGAGACCAGTCCCTGGAGAAGGATATCATGCTTAGTGAAGTAGGATGGCGTAGGATTGGGCATTGCTTTGTTCCGTTGTTCTTGGGGTCAGTGTGAGTCAGAACCAACTCGACAGCACCTAACAACACCAGTAATGCCTAGGATGTTGATCTTTCTGTATGCCATTTCAGGTTCGAGTTCAACATTGCAATTAGTAATGGGTGTTTGCAGCTGTTTCATGTTGAGTGCTCTTAATGTTATCCACAGATCACGAGTGCCCAATGCATCAAATTTGTGAAAAGCATAAAGAATGAGATCCTAAGGCAGTCTATGATAGCTATATGTGTGTATGTATATCAATATCCTGTGCTAATCTCTTATATCCTCAAGGTAGCCATTGGGCGAGCTGTAGGATGGATAGATTTACAAAAGGATTAACAGACTAGGCAGGTGTCTCAAGTCAATAATGGTGTTTATAATTTATTTCTGGACTGCCACTTCTATTAGCATTGATTGCAAGTCCAAGCAAAATGTAAACAATAACTTTCTGTAAACCTAGTGCTCTGAATTTAAGTTTTTACGCAAACCACATGAACTTTGTACACTGCTGCTGGTTGTGTCTATAGGTGTAACTTCTTCGATAAAGCGTTATATATATTCCGTTGCAAAGTTGAAGCACTGGAAGCGCTCTCACTCACCTATGCCGGGAAATTTGGCGAAGGGGTGCGTATTTGTGCACATTTCCACGCACATGACCCAACTCTTGGTCAAAATCACTAAGATGACATGTCAGTAAAATTTTGCTGACGATCATTCAACAGGAAGCTGCCAGAAACTCAAGCTGGATTCAGAAGAAGGTATGAAATGAGGGATATCATTGCTAATACCAGATGGATCTTGACTGGAAACCGAAAATACCAGAAAAATGTTTACTTGTTTTTTATTGAATGTGTAAAGGCATTCAACTGCGTAGATCATAGCAAACTGGGTAACAGAGACCCATAGGAGTTTCAGAATTCTTCATTTTGCTCACGCAGAACTTACACATAGACCAGAGATAGTCCTTCAAACAGAATGCTAAAATCAGGAAGGTGTGTGTCAGGATTCAATCTATGTGTTGAACAGATGATCTGAGAAGCTGGACTCTATGAAGAAAAACATGGCATCAGGATTAGATCAAGGCTTATTAACAACTTTTGATATGCAGATGACACAAGATTGCTTGCTAAAAGCAATGAGTTGAAGCACTTGGCTGTTGAAATCAAGGACCTGCAGCCTTCTGTATGTATTGCAACTCAATATAAAGGGAACCCAAATCCTCAGAACCTGACCAATAGGTAACATCATGATAAATGGAGAAAAGATTGAAGTTATCAAAGATGTCATTTTGCTTGGACCCATAAATCAGTGCTCACGGAGGCAGCACTCAAATCAAACTGAATATTTGTTGCATTGGGCACGTCTGCACAAGACCTTTTGAATGTGTTGAGTTAAGTATATATGTCCTTGATTTAAGCCGTGTTAATTCAGTTTGACTTGTTTGCATATGAAAGTTGGACATTGAACAAGGAAGACGTCTGAGGAATGGATGCATTTGAATTATGTAGCTGGTGAAGACTATTTTTGTACATGGACTGCTAGAGGAACAGACATGTCTATCTTGGAAGTACACCTAGAAAACACCTTAGAATCAAGGATGGCCTGATTACAAGGATCTATATGTGACCTCCTCCCTGGGGGACGGACAACTGAAAAGTGGGTGAAGGGAGACGTCGGACAGGGCAAGATATGACAAAATAAACAATTTATAAATTATCAAGGGCTCATGAGAGAGTGGGGAAGGAGGGGGGGGAAATGACGACCTGATGCCGGGGGCTTAAGTGGAGAGCAAATGTTTTGAGAATGATGAGGGCAATGAATGTACAAATGTGGTTTACACAGTTGACGTATGTATGGATTGTGATAGGAGTCGTATGAGCCCCTAATCAAACTATTTAAAAAAAAAATCAAGGATGGCATTTTGGACAGACTAGTCCTTGGAAAAAGCCATCATGCTTGGTGAAGTAGAAGGTCAGTGGTAAAAAGGAAGACCATTCCAGGAGATGGATTGATGCAGTAGCTGCAACAAAGGGCTTAAATATATGGAGCAGGATCATGCAGTGTTTCATTCTGTTATACACAGGTTTGCTCTGAGTTGGGACCCATTCAAAAGCACTTACCAACAAAAGCAGTCATTTGTAGAACTAAGACAGTAGACAGTATTTCCTAGCAATAGGTTTAAAGGCATGTGTTAAAATGATTTAGTCAGTTAATTAGTGAACATTTGAAGGCTTACTCAACCAATCCTCACAGTGCAATCATGTCATCTGCTTAGTCATTTGACATTTCAGTAGACAAGTTCAAGGACTTCTCTTGTTTTTTTCTTTCAGACCTGTCACGAAATCGCCTCTCAGAAGTTCCTATAGAAATATGTCATTTTGTTTCTTTGGAGAATCTCAATTTGTACCAAAATTGTATTCGGTATATCCCAGAGGCAATTCGAAATCTGCAATCTCTAACTTTCTTAAATATCAGGTAACGATATTCCTCCTCCTTTAAATTTCCAGTGTTGAACGTTCTTTTTAATCTTTCTCTCTTTTTAAATGAAAGTAAACCTATTCATTTATTGACTATCTCATTTATAATAATAGTAAAAAATCTACTGAAAAGAGATGGGGGGCGGGTGGAGCAGACAGAGCAGGTCACCATGGACCACCCACCATCATTTGGTGTTACACAGGCTGCTGGTGAGCACAGGTGGGCAGGTACCTCACATGAGGTAAGGGAAGCCAAGATACAGGAGCTGGGGCAGGGGGCCACAGGTTACAAGAGCTTGAAAGTCTCTTTTTTCAAAGATGTCTCTCTGCCACCTCCATGATGTCTGCTGTGCCTGGGTCTCTAAGTCTCATTTGCCTATAGGTCTGGGGGCTACTTAGAATGGAAACCGTGTGTAGTGCTAACAGAAAATCATCATGGGGAGGTGAGACGTGGGAATTTGCTCAGAGGCTGTGGTTAGGGTTAGGTCCCCTGCTTGTCCAAAGGTGGCTGATAACCTCCCCCCTCCCCCCCCACACACACACACACACACACACACACACACACACACACACGTGTGTGCCGCCAGCAGTTGCTGTTGCAGGGTCTGCTGTGGTGAGGGAAAAGGTACCTGCTGCACCACAGGCATCTCAAGGGATCTCAGGTCCTGAGTGACAGGAATAGGGGTGAGGGATGGGGTGGGGGTGGGAGGCTGGAAAGCGACATAGATAAAGCACCATCCCGATGGTCACATGAAAGCCTAGCTAAGTTAATGCGTGAAGAGTGGGTGTGTACGCCGTTTGTCCATGTGAACAGTATCTACAGCTATAGGAGGCTCCTGGGGATATAAACAGTATGCTGTTGGTCTTTCTAGCTGCTTTCAGCTTCGTGTGATTAATAACATTTGCTATCCACTAGCCTAATAGGCTTGCAGCCATCCTACCGCAGTGGTTCTCCAGTTACATTTTCACATAAATTTGACCAAATGAGAATGGTAGATCTGAAATAACATGCCTCTTATTTACAACGTTAATAAGATAATTGTTGGGTTCTTGGTGACCATGTATTTGTGTGTATTAGGTTCTGAATGTACAAATGAATTTTTTAATTTTAGTCATCTATTTCATTTTTCACATCATAAAAGCCCTTGGTTTTTGAATTTTTTTTTAAGTGTTCATTGGAAGAAATACACAAGTGGTGAAAAGGTATAAAGGGCATCAAAACTCAAAGTCATATAATTACAAGTGACTTTTTCCTTCTGTTTTCCTAGGTTTAGTTATATTTTTAAAAGAAATTTTCTCATCATTAAATATTATTTTAAATATTTTTATCTATTTATTATAAGGTGGTATATTTTAAAGTTCAATTTGTCTACATCATTTCTTCCAGTTTGTTACCATGATTAAAGTAGTATATGTAAGTATTTATTTTTGTTTATTTAAAATAATTTTAGGAGAATTGCAAAATTAAATTTTTTGTAAGCTTATGATTTATCTTAATTAAATAAGCAAAAGAACTTGAAAATGGAAGGAAAACAAGAAGTTAAATATACCTAAACAAAATTTCATTTATTTTTATACTAATAGATGTGTTTTGTTATTTTAATCTTAGTTCTAATATGCATAATGTTTTTGTTTTTTGGGGGGTAAAATTTTTTTAAAACATTTTATTAGGGGCTCATACAACTGTTATTACAATCCATACACACATCAATTGTGTAAAGCGCATTTGTACATCATTCTCAAAACATTTCTCTCCACTTAAACCACCGACATTAGGTCCTCATTTTTCCCCTCCCTCCCCACTCCCCCTTCCCTCATGAGCTCTTGATAGTTTATAAATTGGTATTTTGCATAATGTTTTAATGTAAATTTAAAATGCCTTACCAAAAACTCAGTTGGTATAATATATTTAAAACCACAATCTGTCCGTTGTTTTTTATTGGATCATTCATATATGTGTGGTTAAAATACAACAAAGCAGGAAGTAAATTAGAAGCAATTTTATAACTTTTCTTTGGAAGGAGGAGGAAATAGTGATAGTTATCTACTCTTTTCATAGTTCTTATAAATTTTATTTTTATAAAGTAACAATATATTGTGTTTATATAGCACTTCATTATTTACCAAGCAGTCTTTTGGTGTAGCAGCTCTGGAAGATAGACAGGGAGGTATTAGGTAGTGAGAACCTCAGTTTACAGATGGAGAATTTCTGTCAGATGTAAATAAATAAGAAAGTCAAGTGCTCCGCTAATAGCCAATGAAGACTAGGACCCACATCCAGCATCCTCTTACCTTACTGAGTTTAGATGAGGAAAATTGGAATGTTTTTCTTACTCTTTTCTCTTTACCAATTTAGTCGGAACCAGCTATCAACCTTACCAGTACATTTGTGCAATTTGCCACTGAAAGTCTTAATTGCTAGTAATAACAAATTGGTCTCACTCCCAGAAGAAATTGGACATTTTCGACATTTGACAGAACTTGTAAGTTAATCTTTTATTTTTGATCTGTCTTCACCATACTCTTTCATATGGTAGTATTTTTTAAATAAGATTTTTAAAAGTTATTTTTCACTGTTGGTAATACTTACTGACTTATCAGTATCCAATTGCTTCAGCACAGTATTAAAAAGAATTGGAAGTAGAAGTTTAATAGGCCCAAATGGGATGGGAAAAGGCATTAAAATTAGAATTATATTCTAACCAACATTAAGAACTTTTATGGTCTTAAACTTTTGTAAGTTAATAATATATTTGAATTTTTCAAATTAAGTACTGTAATAGCATCTATACTTCTCACTGTGGGTTAGCCCCTGTAGGACAAAGGGTTTATATTTTAAGTTTACATGCTGCTTTTAGCTATACTGACATAAATATTCTAAGAAGCTAATTGAACGCCTTTGCCTACCGCTCTTTGTAAGTTATAAGCAATCACTGTTTTAATACTTACCGTCTAAGCATGGGAGATAAGACTTTTCTCATTTAATCATTACATGTTATCATGAGTTGAACACATCTTCATTTTAGATCAGAAGATACTATCACTTAGGTAAAGTAATTTACCCAACATTGCATAACTCCAAAACCCATGTTTTTAATACATTTGTACGTGTTTCTAAAATAGTCATGTGTAATATGTCCATTGAGATTTTGGAGTATAGTTTCACTTAGTTTTATTAACAAAAGTGGATATTATAAAGAGACTAAAAATAACTTGTAATCTAGTTGGACCACCAATTAGTTCACTCTTTTCCCCTGATGGATTCTTAAATAGGAGAGATCACATAGAAAACTACACAAATAGTAAATCTGGAGTCTGGATTTTAACAGCTGTTTTTAGAGTCAATCAGAAATAGGAAATAAAGCTCAAATGTATTTTTGTTGGCATTTCTTCAGAATTTGGCTTTAAAATAATATGAACCAGAGTAAGTTAACTTCTGAGTCAAATTCTTATTTTCAAATCATATAAACCATTCCGTTTTTACTGAAAAGACAGCTATGTCTTAGAAACCTGCTTTTAGTTTTTACAAAAAGGTTAATTGATAGTACAAAGGAAACCTGGATGGCACAACATTTAAGCACCCACCTGCCGACTTAAAGGCTGGCAGTTGGAATCTACATTGCAGTTCTGGGGGAGAAAGCTTTGGCAGTCTGCTCTTAGAAAGATTACAGCATTTTCATTCTGTCACCCAGGGTTGTTATGACCCCAAATTACTAACAAGTCATTTAGGGAACTTGACAGAGTAAGAATTAATATCCCTAAAATTCCTGCCTCCTGCTTTAATGGTCTTTCCGCAACATCTTTATTGCTTTTTTCTTTTTCCCTTTCATTTTAAAGTGAAAGTACATTGTTATCTTTCAACTTAAATATTTTCTAAAGTAAGTATTAGGAATTGCTTTTACCTTTTGGCTTAGACTCAATTTTCGTATGCTTTCAACTTCTTTTAGAGCTCCTTTAACGTTGATGGCTAGCTACCAATCTACTTTAGTGATTCATTGGTAGGAAAACTTAAAATGGTAGTATTTTCTTGAGAATGCTTTATAAAAAGCTTAAGCTTAAAACAATGTGTGAAGCCTATTAGGATTTTTTGGTAAGTGGTCTATCTAAATATAATGAATGTGTTAATGTTTTCTTTTTAGCTCAAATGGTGAAGGAGTTTGAAGTGTTAATGGGATTGTTCCTGTAGCCTGTGGAGCTGCCTAAGTAGGTGCTCAGTGCTACATCTGAGTGTGGATTTACAAATTATTCTGACTGATCTCAGAATTACAAAATTTGGAATATGTCAGTCTTAGAGCCTAGATAGCCAACATCTATTTTTAGAATCACTCGAACCAAGCTGTTAATCAAGATACCAGATTAATATATGTATACTGGGATCAAATTGATCAGATGCTGATCAAGCAATATATATAACTTTCTTAACCTATGAGTTCTATATACTTGAATATTTTTCCCTCAATTTCAATTCAGTAAAGAATAATGAATTCCTTTCATTGTATTTTATTTTACATTCTTGTGGGATTTCCTTTCTTTGTTTTTGTTTTTCTTCCTTCTAGTTTCTTTGGAACAATGTAATTATTGTCCGAAACTTGTTTTTTTACTTTCTTATTTTATTTTTTTCCCATTTTCATTTCATCTGATTTTCTAGAACTACTATATCTTAAGTTACTCTGGTTCAGCTCACAAAATAAATGCCTATCTATGCAAAGAGTACAGAATCCGTTAGAAGGCTTGTAAATTTTAAAAAGCAAATGCCAGTGCAAACTATAGAATTATTCTTACACCCAAAATCTTTTACCTACAACTTTGAAAGAACCTTAGGAATTGTCTGGTTTTATTTATAGATAGCTGAAAGCAGGTAAGTCTGTAGTAATAGAATATTTCTTTATTTTCTTTTGAAATAGGATGTGAGCTGCAATGAGATTCAAACAATACCATCCCAAATTGGTAATCTGGAGGCTTTGAGAGATCTTAATGTAAGAAGAAATCACTTAGTACGTTTGCCTGAAGGTAGGAGACTGTGAAATGACCTTTTTGACGATTCCTTTTCTGTTTCTTTTAAAGTACTCTCACATTGCTCATATTATTATTGATGTGAAATAGGTCTTAAATGATGGAAAACAGATAAAATGCTCTTTTAAAAAGAAAAAAAAGTACTCGCAGATTAATAGGCACAAGATAAAACTTTGTAAGAGTTACAGTGAGTGTTGAAGATGTAATGGTTTTTTAGTGTTGTTACCTGTTGGATTGTGGGTTCAAAATTAGATTTTTCGGTGAAAAACTTAAATGTACATCTAATTTCTGACCTTGCTACTTGTAGGAATTTATAAGTCTGGTTAGGGTCACTGGAACTTTTAGTAAGCATCCTTGTTTGGGGGAAATATAACATTTCTGATAAAGGGATAATTTAATTAATAAAAAGCACCCTCATAATTAACACTGACTTAAAATGGACTTTGAAACTTAATTACTTGATCCTACATTTGAAATATTCATACAGAGGCTAGTTAACTGTGGAGGTGATGTTTAGCATGAGGGATATTGTGTAATTGTATAGTGTCTCCGTACTAGAGATAGGTAACTGGATATTTTAGTCTGACTTACACATATTTGTTTTTACTTGAAAGAGAAAACTTACTGAATAAATTCATTAAGTACAATTTATCAATCTTCCAAAATATAGGATTTATTAAAAGAAAGCTGTGAATGGAGTGGAAGGGGAAGAACAATTGTTTTCTATATTAGAGTATATTCTTTCATTTTAGCATGATAAATTTATATAGAGACGTAAAGGACAAATTGTTCCATCTCTACCTTCATCTGCTTTCTTCTACCCTATCTTCTACATAATTCTAGAAATTTATCTATAAACATTTTAGATATCTCACCTCAAAGATAAGGAACCTTCAAAAAGTGTTTCATGAAAATGATTTTTAGATTCTTCTGTAAGACACGACTTATAATGTACAACAAATGTCTAATTATAATACTTTAGTTTTCACTCGAGGGCCTAAAATTGACACCATCTGATGCAGTAGAATGTGTAGTGCTTCCATACTAGTGTGGCTTTGCACTTTGGATCCTAAGTAAGTATGTTACAAAGTGTCTTTTTCAACTCACTTTTAAATATTCACCATACTCACACAATCAAATCACCCAAAGTCCTGATTATCTGTTCTTTGTCTAGGCTTGCCGGTGGTTTTCAGACCCCTGTCCTTAGAACCTACTTCCTGTTTTCCTAGTGACTCTACTTTCATGATCTCACAAATATCAGTCAAGGGCCCTCAGGCCAGGTAGGCCGACCTCATGAGACGGGCCTCCTTAACCCCAGATTTCCATCCAGGGTGAACCCTCAAGGAGACCCATCTGTGTGGTTAATCTTTAGAAGGTAACTCACATAACAGTTCCCTTCATTTGAAATCAGTAAATGAGAAGATTCACTTTTTTTTTTCAGATACAACCTCTGTTTAGAGATAGCCGTCTAGTTTTAAGATAGCATTCATTGTTTGTTTTCATTGTATCACCGTGCAGAGCTGGCAGAGTTGCCTTTAATACGGATTGACTTCTCTTGCAATAAAATTACAACAATTCCTGTTTGTTACCGGAACCTGAGGCATCTGCAGGTGATCACGCTTGATAACAATCCACTGCAGTCTCCACCTGCACAGGTAAATGATAATTGAGCGTGAAGAATGTTATGAGTATTTTTTACTATAAAGGATCAGATTTAAAATTTAATTTACATACATTTATCTTGTTAGAAAATAAGTTTATACACACAGATTCTTTAGAAGTCTTCATAGGGTGAAAGATAGGACTCTTTATTTTTTTACTTAATTGGCTACCCTCCCAATAAAATTTATATAGCGATAATATAAATATGAAAGGCCTTCAAAAGATCTGTGGAAATTTTTCATTATCTTTTAATTCTACCTTCCCATATATTTTTTGAATCCCCTTTGTACTAGAGACAAAGATTTCAGAACTAAGGCAAAGCATTTATTGTGAACATGGGTTTGGGACCTTTTTGTTTTCTAAAATTATAAGCTCATTATTAAGCCAGTTTGATTTTTTTGTTTCAGTGACTACAATGAAGCTATGTACTGATTAAGTAGTTATATAGTAGCTTTACCTATAGGTTCTAGACATCCTTCAATCTACTCGGTTTGGATTAATTCATATTTTTCACCATAGGTTTTTTCTCTTTCCAATTTATTACTGATCTTGTATAAACCCATGGCAGCTATAAAATTTACGAGTAAAACTTCAAACTTCATACATACAGAAGAATTGATAATTCCAAAGAATTTATATTTTGATTTCTGAAAAAGAAGTCAACAGATAGTAATAAATACATATATATAATTTAATTTTTTCCCCAAAACCATTTTATTGGGGGCTAATACAGATATCATTTCATAGTTCAGCTACATCGAGCAGTATTATACAATTGCTACCACAATCAGTTCCAAATATTATTAAAATATTTAATCATTTCCAGCTCTCCCTTACAGAAAGCAAAGATAAAAAGTACACATTATTGTTGAATTCCTAAAAGCAAATGTTGCCAATGTAGTTCTTGGGGAGGGATGAGCAGGAATAATGGAAGTCTCTGACTGTACTAAATTAATCACTGTGCAAAGTATGGTGTTTGTTATAGCAAAAAATACTGTTTTTATTACCAAACAAGAGGGCTTTAAACATTTCATAGAAAAGGGGAATTGTGAGGTAATACACTTTGTCTGTGTACTTTTTGAATCCCCCTCATATGTACTGTACTTCACAGAAATGCTTTCTATTCTCAAATTACATTAAGCAAAAGGTTGATTATGATAAGAATAAGTTTTATTTCAGGTAAGTAATAATCTGCTTGCATTATATCTTATTTAGATATGTATAAAAGGCAAAATCCACATATTTAAGTACTTGAACATACAAGCTTGTAAGATTGCCCCAGACCTGCCAGATTATGATCGGAGACCCCTGGGTTTTGGCTCTTGGTGAGTATGTTCAGTTCTTTCCCCACCATACCCCACCTCAGGGAAGCAAGTGAACTACATCCGTACAGCTGCCTGAGGGGCAGTAATTCACTAAAAAATTTTTTTTCTGGGTGCTTGTATTAGTGTAAAGTTGGTTACATAGGCCTGATCAAGTATAGCTCTAAGTAAGGATTTTTCAAGGTGGGCACCATTGGCATTTTGACCCAGAATAACCTTTTTTCTGAGAAGGTATGCTGTAGGTGTGCGCATGGTGCCTGTTAGTATCTTTTTTGACTTGAGAATCAGATAGATAAATAGATTTTTCATTTTATGTGTACTGTAATTGATTTTGCCTATTTAGAGTTAATATTCCTTGTTAATGAAACATCTCCCCTCCCCTGCCGTTGCCCTCATCTGGGATCAGGCCACAACCTAGAAGGCCTTTTCCTTCATCTATTGCCTCTGCAGCTGTTCTCTTGTCACCCAGTACCCAGAGCAGTGTCTCCACAAACCAACTCTGTACTGCCAGCCTCTGCTGGTTTCTTGGCCCTGTGTGCTCACTTAGTCTCCATAATGGCTCACAAAATTCACCGAGATGGCTACCTATACTCCCGTTATCCATTTATTATAACTAGAAGAGATGTAGGCCACGATCTGGGAGTTTCCAGCAAAGGACCTCCAGTGTTCCCAGGGGTCTGCTGCTCCCTATTGCGTGCACGGACACACACGCATTTAAAAGGCCCCGAAGAGAGCACTCCACAGTCGTGAGTCCTCTCATCATTGAGACTCATTGAGTCTGACTGAGAGTTCCGTTGTACATAGTTCGATTGATCCAGCCAATGGGTAAGTGTGACTGACTGTAGTAAGCCCACTCTCTCCCAGTTCCACTCGTAAGCAGCTTTTGTGACCTTTACTTGTCAGCCTATTTTCTAAAGACAAAAAGCCCATTTATTGCTCAGCTATTTCTAGAAAACAGATACAAAAGGCCAAATCTAGTTCTTCATGGACAGTTATATAAATCTAGAAAGAGTCCCTGTGGAGTGCAACGACTAACTGAAAGAGTGGAGTTGGGAGTCCACCCAGAGGTGGACTTAGAGGAAAGCCCTGGCAGTCTGTTTGCAAAAAAGTAACCATTGAAAAACCCTGTAGAGCATAGTTCTACTTTGATAGGTATGGGCTTGCCATGAGTTAGACTTGACTGGAGGGCAACCGTTTTTCCTCTAGAAACCTGAAAATCTGATTTACTTGAAAAAGTGACGATATTAATGACTTGTTCAGTGAATATTATATTTCATTTGGCAACTGCAAATAAAGAATATTTTAAAAACATTGAGTGGTTTCAATATATTTCTCACTAGAAAGCTTGTAAAAATAGGCGCCTGGCATAGTTTTGCTGAGATAAAACACACCCAGACCCTGGCCTTATGACAGACGGTGAATGGCCCTATAGACAGAGGAACAAACTAACAACATTACGAAAGTGGACTTCTAGGACCTTTAGAACATTCGAATATAGTGCCCATTTTATAAGCAGTTTATCTTTCTCTGTGTATGTGAAGTGCTTCATATGATTGAACTATTGATTGTATGATCTGTGGGTTATGTACCAGTAAAACGATTTAAAAACAAAAAAAGTATTTGCCTTAGTACAGTAAATATTTAAATATCTATTTCATCTTACAAGACAAACAAAGTGACAGATTAAACAGTAGTAACAGGCATAAAGGAAACAAGACTGGCAGAGCATTGATATTTTTGAATCTGGGTGATGAGTACTTGGGCACCAATATCCTATTCTGTTTCTTTATTTTTATTTGGAATATTTCATAGTAAGCAGTTAAAAGAATGGACCGACTAAATGCCATGAGAATGTTTAGTCGTGAATTTCCCGGTGTTTATTGAAGTGCCTCTTTTTAAAACGTCAGACTTGGCAGTAACACCTACAGTTATTTGTTGGCAGCCATGAAGAACTGTACTCGGGTCGCCCCTATGGAGCCCTGGACTCGGGCTTCAATAGTGTGGACAGTGGGGACAAGCGGTGGTCGGGGAATGAAGTAAGTGTTTCTCCTCTTCCGCATGTACTGGCTCTTGATTAGGAGAAAAGAAACCTTGAAAATGCAAATGTCTCCATTGATTTCAGTTTGTCTTTCTGTAAAGTGCAGAAAAGTTCAGAGGGGCCAAAATCGCACATAGTCCCACCACCCAAAAGTAGTATTGTATTTCCTTCCATCTTTTAACCATGGTGTGCTACCACACTGTATTGTGTGAATAGTTTCGTATCGGGAGCTGAGCCCGTTACAACCGCAGCCTAGAATTGGAGGGTCTAGGTGATCTTGAGCAGCGATGAAAGAAGGGGAAGAAGGGTGCAGAAACTGAGGAAGCAAAGTAAAGAGATGGAAATCTTAATTAAGAATGTCCACGTGCAGAAATGGCGCTATCTTCTGCTTTTTGGAAAGCTCACCTTCCACCATTTGCTTTTATGAAAGACCTAAATTGCTATCTGTTTTCACTAATGGAAAGAAATCCAAAGAGGATATTCACTTTTACCAAAAAAAAAAAAAAAAAAGCAAAAGGCAAAATTAGTGCTGAGCATTTGTTTGGCAGCAAGCCATTAAAGGGGCAGTGCACCGTGAGCAGTGAGATGGGTGTGTCCAAGCTCCTCCCCAGGGAACTGCACTCTCCACCTGGGCATGGAGTGCCCTAGATTTCACGTGTGTCAGTGAACCCTGTCTGCTGGTGTTCTTTGAGGCCTGCATGTTACTTGGTATGCTATGGTAGTTTAATTTCGGGGTCTGGGAATGCTAAAATGTTTTTCCATATAAATTGGTGGTACTTGCTGCTTTGCTTTATCCTATTTTGGCTTACAAAATGTTCCATAGGATTACATAAGATTACTATAACGAGGGAAACCTGTACATAAATTTCTTAGCTAATTTTTTCTTAATTTTAAAATTGATACTATTTATTGCTTTAACTATAAATTGGGTTAAATGGTTAATTCAATATACTCTTGTTAGTTTGTCTCCCATGCATATCATTGTTTCATTGGGAGGCCAAAGCAAATTTACTTTTAGACCACAGACCATTTGTCTGGATGGTTGGGTACATACTTGTGGCTGTATCTCTACAGACAGTATGTGCAGATAACTTATGTATGTACCTACATTCATAGAACCATCTGCACCCTGCTATTTGCCCTTACATATAAAATTTGATGAGCTTATATTACACCTATACCATCCATGCTTTATTGTCTGAATTTTGAAATGATGTTTCTCTTCTATTTCTGCTGTTTTTGAAGCCCACAGATGAGTTCTCAGATCTGCCTCTTCGAGTAGCAGAGATTACTAAAGAACAGAGACTGCGGAGAGAAAGCCAGTACCAAGAGAATCGCTGCAGTGTAGTGGTGACAAATGGAGGTAAACGTCATTGATGATGGCATTTGAAGTCTCTATCGCATCAGTATTTAAAAGTGGCCTTCTTCACTGTCACCCTTTTGTTTGTGTATCTGTAGATGCTTCACCCTTTTCTCAAGCACTTCTTTTCATATTTGATTGAAAGAGACATGTTTCCCACTGTGATTAAAATTTGATATCTCATGTTTTCAGACTAGTAGGTAAAATAAATGTTGCTTATTTTTTATTTTGAGAAGAACTTTTATTAAAAACAGTTGATCTAGATTAAATCTTTGTTTGTCTTACCTAAGCACTGTCTTTGACATACTATTCTCCATTTTAAAGTGGAATCTTTGTGTTCATTAATTTGACCTCTCAGGAATTCAGTGTATTTCTTATCCACCTTTTCTTTCAGCTTAAGTTATGCTCTCTACAGTATTTGAAACCCAATTTTTCTTATCCTAGTTTTTATAATTTGTAATTTTTATAGTTTATTAACAGGTCTTTCTGCCTGTGCTCCTAAGGCATACTCGATGTTATTAGCATTCCTTGCACTAGTTTGAATTGCCTAATCCTAATGATTACACTTGGGGGGCCAGTTATATGGGAGAAATGTTTTTGATTTTCTAGAAATGTGTAGGATATTGAAAAATACATTATCTAAGAAGAGTTTTTCTCTCTGAATGATGATTTCAATTAAGTGATTCATTGTTTTTAACCGTACCGTCTCATATTCCTCTTTCCTCCGGACCTTACTGTTTTATTCACCTATCAGTAACCTTTAAAATTTTTCTTTGATATGAGAGCCCTGTCTTATTAGTTTTTTTCAAACTTAAAATAATGTCTAGGTGAGTTCTGTTCACTATTGAGCATTTGAAAGTGGCTTTTGCAAATGTCAATGTGCTGGTAAGTGTTAAATACACACCAGATTCTACAGACTTTAATGAAAAGTAGAATGCAAAGTTTCATGAACATTTTAGATTGTTTATATGAAGGGGCTTCAGAAAGTAGAAATTTTTCATTGTCTTTAATTCCATTCTCCTACAAATGTTTTGAAGCCACCCTCTGCCCTCATATGTTGAAATAATATTTTAGCTATATTGGATAAAATACTATCATTTTTTTAACTTCTTTAAAATATAGCGCTAGAAAAATTAAAATTATATCTGCGATTCACTTCATTTTTAATAGTTTTTCACATATAATTTCCATATCATACAATTTACTAGTTCAGTCATATTAAGAGGAGTTGTGCAGTCAATACTATAGTCAGTTTTAGAACATTTTCTTCTTTCTTCTACTCACTGTTAATAGCTCCCCTTTTCTCCAAACCTCTCCTGCCATGCTGCCAGGTAGTTTTTAATCTAGTCAGTGTCTCTGTAGATTTACTTATTCGGGATTTCATACACAGAGAAACATACAAAATAGAAACATGAAACAACAGCAACAAAATCACAAAACAAAAGCCTCAATTGAAAAGAAAGTAAAAAATATTAAATATTGGAACAACTTTTAAAATTGGTCAAAAGGGAGATCAAATAATAATTAACCTAACTACAGTCATCCATAATCAAATTTATGATGGTCTCTGTCTGTTAGCAAGGCTGTTCACATTCCTGGACTGTGGCCAGAGGGGATTCATCAGAGGCTTAACCCATGTTAAACAGTGGATTTGGGGCTTCCACTTTATCTCTGATGTTCAGAATTTAAGCTCTGATACTGTTCCCTTCCTTGGATTTGGGTTTTATTACTTATAACCCTTGGATCACACCAACTGGTATGTCTTCCACGTGCACTTAGTTGATACTGCACTTAGATGCCTGCTTGTTTTAAGAAGACTCCAGACACTGTTCTTTCTGATAACTGGGCACCTATATGTGATCCACTTTTGTGAGTTGCATTCTAGTTCTCTTGGACAGTAATGGTCTCTATAGTATTTAAATGGTGTTATATTAAGAGATAGTCATAATATTAACTGTTATTTATTTTTTAACCTGTAAGTTGTGGCACATTGAAAAAGGACATTTATACACCTGGTTTCTGATGTGGGTATAGATTAATAAATTTTCCATTAAAAAAGCTGTTACCCTCTAATTCCTCAACATGAATTTTATATGGATTACAATTGTGGAATTATTTATAAAAATTGAGTTAGGAAACCAGGTTGAGAAACAGATTTCTTCACATTAACAGTTCTTAGCAACTACATCTTTAGACCATTCATAGAACATCCTGGAGCCACTGTATGTGCAAACAGTTAAGCACTAAGCTACTGAGAGGCTGGTGATTTGAATCCACCCAGTCGCTTCTCAAAAAAAAAAAAAATCATGTTCTTCTGAAAGATCACCCAGAAAACCAAACCAAACCCCCTGCCACACCCTCTGTTGGGTTTCCAGAACTCTAAATCTTGATGGGCACTGACGGCCTTCTCTGTCTCTAGGGAGCAGCTAGTGTCTTTGTAGTTACAGCCCAACACCTAACACAGCGCCCACAGGGCTCCGTCAGTAGAAAATCATAAAACAACGCTGGTGTAAAAACTCTGCAGAAACCATCTTAGAAACACGTCATCTGCTTTACCTGCTATTTTAATTAGCTTTTTAAAATAGTTACTTTTAAATTCAAAAACAGTAGGTAATTCCAAAATGTATCCAATGAAATAATGGGACTATATCATCTGTTCACCCTAAAGCATTTTTTTAATTGTGAACTATTTCTTTCTTTTTTTTTTTTATCATTTTATTAGGGGCTCATACAACTCTTATCACAATCCATACATATGTCAGTTGTGTAAAGCACATTTGTACATTCATTGCCCTCATCGTTCTCAAAACATTTGCTGTCCACTTAAGCCCCTGGCATCAGGTCCTCATTTTTTCCCCTCCCTCCCCCTCCCCCTCTCTCATGAGCCCTTGATCATTTTTTTTAAATCGTTTTATTAAGGTCTTATACAACTCTTATCACAGTCATACATACATCAATTGTGTAAAGCACTTTTATACATTCATGGCCCTCATCATTCTCAAAACATTTGCTCTCCACTTAAGCCTCCAGCATCAGGTTCTCATTTTTTCCCCTCCCTCCCCGCTCCCCCCTCCCTTGTGAACCCTTGATAATTTAAAAATTATTATTTTGTCATATCTTGCCCTCTCCGACTTCTCCCTTCACCCACTTTTCTGTTGTCCGTCCCCCAGGGATGAGGTCACATATAGATCCTTATAATTTATGAATTATTATTTTGTCGTATCTTGCCCTATCTGACGTCTCCCTTCACCCACTTTTCTGTTGTCTGTCCCCCAGGGAGGAGGTCACACGTAGATCCTTGTAATCGGTTTCCCCTTTCCAACTCACTCTCCCTCTACACTCCCAGTATCACCACTCACACCACTGGTCCTGAAGGGATCATCTGCCCTGGATTCCCTGTGTTTCCAGTTCCCATCTGTACCAGTGTACATCCTCTGGTCTAGCCAGACTAGCAAGGTAGAATTTGGATCAAGATAATTAGGGGGGAGGGGGAAGGAGGAGGAAGCATTTAGGAACTAGAGGACATTGTATTTTTCATGGTTGCTACATCGCACCTTGACTGCCTCATCTCCTCCCCAAGACCCCTCTCACCCCAAAACATTTTTGAGAAAGAAAATAATCCTCAAATTCCTCCCGATCACAAACTGCTGCATAATGTCCACAATGCTGACTTCTAGGAAGTAATTTCCTAAATAGGAAAAATCTCCTGATCTTAGTTTTTGTTTTTTTTTAACAGTTTATTAGGGGCTCATACAACTGTTATCCCAATCCATACACACATCAATTGTGTAAAGCGCATTTGTACATCGTTTCTCAAAACATTTTCTCTCCATTTAAACCCCCGACATTAGGTCCTCATTTTTCCCCTCCCTCCCCTGATCTTAGTTTTTTAAGAGGGGAATGAATAACAGAAAGGTGATTGAAGGGAGACAATGGACAGTGTAAGACATGAAATAACAATAATAGATCTGGGGAAGGAGTAGGAGACGTCAGAAGGCCCTGTGGGCTTGTATACTGTGAGGGCTGATCTAATGCTCGAAGACATGCAAAGAATCTAACTTAGAAAGTCAGACACTAAGCGCTGGAGTATATGGTGAAGAAATCAGAAAGAGACCCTTTCCCTCCGGTGCTTGCTGCAAACCAGATTGCTGCTACCAACCCTGATTGCTAGCTCCTGTTGTAAATCTTCGAGAAGGAAGCAGATAGAACATGCAACAGCAAATGAAGAAAAGACTCGGAAAAGTTGCCATAAGGGCCCAGGTGATAGGGCCTTTGTTGAGACTACGCCAAACCAAGTGCAGGGTGGCTCCGGGGCTGCAGGCAGAGGAGGAGCCTGCTAATACAGTGTGGGCCTTATGTGATGAAGGCGGCGTGCACTCTGACACTGGTCTGCAGGCAGTTGACGGGCCCTTCCCTGAGGGTTACATTGAATGCATAATACGAGGTGAGTTTTCAGAACCCATCCTCGAAGAAGACTTGATTCGTAAATCCTTGGAATACCTGAAACAAGAATCAGAACAAACCCTTGCTCAACAGCTTCTTGGAGAAAATTCACTTCTTGGAGGCAACTCACTCGAATGCTCTTTGGAATACGCCAAAGAAAGGACCAGACCAAACCTTTCTTAACAGTTAGCTGAAGAGAATTCACTTGTGTATTCTGAGTACATGACTGGCAAGAAGCTTCCCCCTGGGGGAATACCTGGTGTTGACTTATCTGATCCTAAACAGCTGACAGAATTTACTAGAAAGAAGCCGGAAAAAAAATACAGAATATGATGATCAAAATCCACTCCCCTGTCCTCGGGGTGGATGTCCAAGGAAGTTTAAGGATAAGGCCTCCCTGAGAAAGCATCTCCTAGTTCATGGTCCCCGAGACCATGTCTGTGCAGAATGTGGGAAAGCTTCACTGAGAGTTCAAGACTGAAGCGGCACTTTCTGGTGCACACTGGAGAAAAGCCCTACCGGTGCACATTTGAAGGGTGTGGGAAGCGCGTTTCCCTGGACTTCAATTTGTGCACACATGTACGGATCCACACTGGGAGAAACGCTTTTCGTGCCCCTATCAAGGCTGTTACCGGAAGTTTATTCTGTCAAGTAACCTGAAAGCTCGCATCTTAACTCATGCAAAGGCCAAAATATAGGTGGGAGAGTAGTCCTCAAACAGAATAAGCATCTTAAGGATAAATGTGCCTCTTGATTATTGTTTCTTAATGAGTCTATTATTTACAAAAATCTATAAAGCTTTTCTTTCAATATTACTAAGATACTTTTGATTTTAACTTTTTAATTTCCAGCTATTTAGCTTGTGCCTTTTAGGAATGTACCTATTACTATCTTTGACTATTCTAGAGATTAAAACTTTTGCAGTAAATTTATAATAAATGGATGCATAGTTACACATTTCAAATCCATATTGAATTTGAAAGTGATATTTTTATGATTCTATGATTATCAGAGACATACATCATACCTTTGATATACTGTTAATCAAGTTCAATCCATTTTACATATCTTAAAATAATCCAAAATATGCTAAATCTAGAGTAAAAAAAAATAAAGCTGCTTTAAAAAGAAGTGACAATAATAATATATAATTGACCAAGGATTCACGAGGGTGGGGGAGGGAGGGGGGAAAAAGGGGGTGCTAATACCAAGGGTTTAAGTAGAAGAAATTGTTTTGAAAGTGTTGGTGGCAGCATATGTACAAGTGTGCTTAACACTATTGAATGATGGATTATTACAAGATTTGTAAGAGCCCCCCCCCCAATAAAATGATTGATTTTTTTTAAAGAAGAAAACAGAAAAAAATATAATTGGCAAAAGTTATAAGAAAAGAAATAGTCATCCAGGTCGGTTTCTTTCCCAGACTAGTTTTCTTTGAAGTTTTGTTTTTTCCTAGCTTCTTTCTTTTGAGTTGACCTTGTGAGGTTTTTTTGTCTTCCAACTCTGAAGTTAGGCCCAAACCTAAAATGTAAAAAAGGAAGTCCTAAAAGTAGGTGCACTTTTTGATATCTACAAATTAATCTTCATTTTGTCTCACAAACTCAAATTCCTTTGTTTAAAACAGTAAGGAGCTATTGAAAAGGGGAAAAAGTTAGAGATCCCGATTCCAATTCAGGTTAATATTTTTCAAATTGGTATCTTTGCAAATGCCCATAAATTAAGTAATAAAGACTGCAGCATTTTTAACCTTCTCATTTCTCACAATTTGCAAGTGAAAAATGTTGGGAGGAACATTAGAAGACAGTGCAATTTAAATAAATGTCTTCTCTTGACTTTCTACTCAGAATGCTCTTTCTGGTGTTTGTGTGTGTGTCTGGTGTGTACAGTGGACCACGACCTGGAGCAGATTGACTACATCGACAGCTGTGCTGCAGAGGAAGAGGAGGACGAGGTGAGGCAGCCCAAGGTCCTGGGCTCAGACAGCCTCAGTTCTCAGTTTGTGGCATATATTGAACACCGGCGAATCTCTCATGAGGTAGTAGTACACACCTTTGCGCTCCGAGATATTGCTATCCCCAAGCCAACACATACTTGGTTTCTGTCAGCCAGGTCTAATTATCTTATTATGTTCATTTTCCTAAGTTTTACAGTTCTACTCAGATAATCTGGCAGTAGTCTTACATGGCATTTACTTTAAGTTTGTGGTTAAACAAGGAGGCATATAATCAGGATTTTGAAAAATAAAAGGAATACAAAGAATAACCTAAGGCCACTAAAAAACAACAAAGAAATAGGGCTATTGTTACTTTTATTACCGTAAATTGTTAAAAACTGGAAAATCCTACTTGGATCAATAATTGAAAATCGACTCAAAAAGCTGGCGTTTGGACAGCATTCCAACCTAAGAGTAGAATTTGTGTGCTGCATTTATTATATTAGCGCTTTTGTGCAAAATCTCACAGATTATAAATTGTTTGCCATTAAAATTCTTGGGTGTCTCTGATACTGGAGCATTGATAGCTCAGAAAACAAATGAGCATTCAGCCCACTTCAGAATGTCTGCCAATTCCCCATGGGTTGAAAGTAAAAATCACATTCTTGAATATTGTCTAGTCACCAGAATAAAATGACTCCTCTCAGTGTGTGTGCGATGTTGATGTCTGGAGTTGGCCACAGGCTCCAAGCTGCAGGGCTTATTTGAGAAACACTCGGGGCCTTCTCAAAGACCAATGTGTAGTTAGCCTCTCAGAAATAGAGAATGACGACTCCAAATGGGATATGTCGTACAGTGACAGTATCAGCCTAGAAGGGAAAAGAAAGCTTTGACATTCTTATCTGAAAGCTTTGAACATGGTTATGTGTTGTTTGGAAAATACTTTAATATTTAAAGCTGGATAAAATTATGTAAATCAATGTCTTGCAGCTCCAAGATGGCAGTGTACCAGGTGAAGTTACTTATGGTTCCAGCTATGAGCAGCCCTGCTAGAGCAGAGGGCAGCTAATTTGCAATAAAATTAATAATGATAGATTACAGTCTTGAAAAGGAATCCTTTTCTTTCCTCCTTCTCTTCTCTGTTTTCTTATGGTCTTTTTCTTTATCATTTTATGGTTAATTTAGCTGGAAAGATGTGATATTTCTAAGAAGTGAAAACTCATACTATTGGTTGAAAATCACAGGACTGTTTAATCCATTCATTGCCTTGGTTATTTTATAACTGTGTTTTTTAATTCTAGCTTCTTATTATCAATGGAAATGTTCTTAAGATAAAGTGAAGCCGTATTATTTTAGGTAGATTTACAACCGGTTTCTTAAAAATTAACTTATATGAGAGTTTAAACATTCAGTTCTTATTTAAGTTTAATTATACTATTTTTCATATATACAGACCACCCTCTTCCACATTAGGGTGTAGCTCATTTTCTAAATTAGAGCAGTATTACAATCATTTTGTATTGGGAGTTCCATGTACCTTTTTGTGATTATTTTAAATTAAAAATTATAGAACCAGGTTGGTAAGTTACTGATGTAACGTAAACCCATTGTATTCCAGCCCATTCCAGCCCATGGTGACCTTGTGTATGCAGAGCAGAGCAGGGCAGAACTGCTTCACAGGGCCTTCTCCTGTCACCAGTTTTGTATCCCAAAGGGCCTCTGAGTGGGTTCAAACCTTCAATCTTCTTGTTAAAACTAGTCTAGCACTTAACTGTTTGCTCTACTCAGGGATTTATCCTAGAATAAATTTTTGCTTATATTTGGGGGTTCAAGAATTGTAACTTATTTTAAGTGATTCCGTGCTCAGACATTTCAGCAGTCAGTTTTGGAGTAACAACAAAGATGACGGTCAAGATGTGTGGTACTCCTTTTCTTGGAAGTTCACTAGACATAGTTTTGCATTTTACTTTTTAGGCCATGTTGTTTTCCTTAAAGAATGCCCCTTTACTGATTATTTTTAGTATTAAAATAAGATTGTGTTAGATCTATAGGTTATTTGAAAAAATATCTATTCTGTGTTAGCCTCTCAGTCCTCACCTTTAATCTGGAGGGCTTTTTTTTACAGTATGTGATCCATATTACTTTAGCCAGTTGAATTTTGCCAAGTAATCCTTCCTTAAAATGACAAAAAAACCTTTAGTGTATAAGTAAATTTTCCAGAATTTTTTAAATTAATACTATTTTACAATAAATGGAAATTACTGTTTGTTGTTTCTTGACATTCTACCAAACATTGCTAGAACTACCTGTATGTCTCAGATAAATAATTTGTCGAGGTAAGGATATGTGAAGTGTGCAGTGAACCCTGTGAGAGAGGCTGACCAGCTGTCAGGGACGGAGGGTGGGAGCAAAGGCTGTCCTGGAAGGAACCTCTTTTCCAAGTCTTAGCACCCAGTCAATATGTCTCTATGTGGTCGCTGTAATCGGCATAATACAGTGACAAGGAATCCATTTTATTTTTTAAAGGCTTGTGGATTTTGAATATTCTTATGTTTATCAAGGCATTTGTGTAGCCTTTAATACTCTTTATAATAAGCATTATAAGCCTCATCTCATCTTTTTCCCAAGGAGCAGCTGATGGGTTTGAACTACTTACCTTGGAGTTAGCAGCCTAATATGTAACTCCTTATGCCCCACTACATATCCCTAAATTCCAGGTTGAATGTGAACCGTGCAAGTGTAGTGTTCTGGAAACATATTAATGAATTATTTTTCCTATTTTGGCCTAGGGTTCCCCAATTAAGCCAGTGCCCGCTAGGGAGTTTCAGAAATCAGAAGATATGAGAAGGTTTACACATCTAAACAGGTATGGGGCTGGAGGGGGGAGCATTTTTTGTTTGTTTGTTTCTGTCTAAAAATTCCCTGGCAAGAGCAAGAAATAATGTTGGTTTTGTGCAGATCTGTGTTTACTCTTCACTAAACATTTCATTAGATGCTAAGTGTTTCAGATGCTGTATGGTTAGAGCAATATGCTTTTGTACTTTTTTTTTGCTTATTTTTGTTTTTGTACTCTTGCCATTTAAAAAAAAAGGTAAAGTGATATATGGACTCTAAAATTGGACCTAAGTTAAGCCATTACCTCTATAATTAATTTATTTGAATTTACTTAGTAACAGTGATATTTTTGGTGATGTGTCTGGATTCCTACATAAAAGGGATAAGTAAATTTCAAGTGTACTGGCTTTTTATTTAACTTAAATTTTTGACTGTGGTAATAGAGAGATACAGAGATGGTGTTTCCGTCCTGGTGATCTTTCCACTAACTCGACTGCCTCCCAGGACTAATCCAAAAATAGCTTGACCATTTAAAGCCACTGCCTCAGTTCTTGAATTCCAAAGGCTTCTTGCCATGAACTGTATCACAATAGTTGCTAAAATTCCAGCCTTGAATTCTTGGCTTCGTTTGTTTCTATGAAGTCTTAAAGCAGCAGGCTTATGCTTAATGGCAGTAAATTTACTGAGTAGGCGTTTTCACACAATGGTTTGCATATATTTTAGACAATATTAGAATTACCGTAAATCGACAACTGAGAGATATGTTTAGATAGAAGAAATATGGGAAGATAGTCAAAGAATGAAGCTTCATCACTTGTTGCATGCTAGTTTGATCTGTTAGTTCACGGGGATTGAGTTAACATCTGCTCTGCTGTGAAACTGTACTAAGATTGACTGTTTAGTGGCCGTGTGCCCTTGCTCCAAGGGTCTGTTCCTTTGCGGTTCTTTGAATGTAGGGACATCTTATTCTGTGTCTCCACCTTGCTTAGACTCTTATCCTACTCACCTCCTGTACCCATTATAGGTGAAGCTCAAGATCTCTAGGATTCGGCAGAAATCCTCAAAGCCAGCTTTTCTCTCAGTTACCTCATGCATTCATTACTTTTCTATTACTTTCTCAACAAATTACCACTTACTTTGCGGCTGAACACAACACTCATTGATTCTATATCCTAGTTTTTTAGGTAAGAAGTTTGGACCATATTGACTGGGTTTTTAGGGTTTCACAAAGTCAGCTGGTCTGTAATCTTTTTTTTTTTTTAATTGTTAGCTTAACTTATTTTATTTTATTTTATTTTTATTTTGGTCTGTAATCTTATCTGGAAACTCTTGGAGGAGAATTTCCTCCCAGGTTATTGATAAAATTTAGTTCCACGTCGGACTGAGGTCTCTGTTACCAAGTGTGCTGTCAGCTGCTTGTTATTCTTCACTTCTAGGAGCTGTTTATATTCTTGGCCTGACAGCCGCCCTCCATCTTTAATTAAGCCAGTAGTGACCGGCCAAATCCTCCTCAGTCTGCCAAATATTCTCACATACTCTCATGTCTCCTCTTCTGCTTTTAAGATCTATTCTCCCCATGTGAAGATAACATCCTATTACATCTGCATAGTCCCTTTTGCCCTGAAATGCAATGGGTTAGCACAATTGGGGAGATCATGCAGGTTCAAAATTTTGCCTAATCCTAGAGTTCCTGGTTTTGCTTTTTTTTAATAATTTGTGAATCCTTTACTCTTATGCCAGCTCAACAGTACATTAATTTTTTTCTTTTCAGTTAATCATTTTAGTTGTTTTAATTGAGAGGGGTGGGTCATTCAGGAGGTTTAATCCCCCATAGTTCTGGAAATTGAGGTCACAATTACTTTTTTTGTTTTGTTTTGTGTTTTTTTTTAGAGTTTGAGTTATTTTCTTTATTTTTTTTTAAATGATTTTATTGGGGGCTCATACACCTCTTACCACAATCCATACATCCATCCATGTACAAAAAAAATATTTGTACATTTGTTGCCACTATCCTCAAAACATTTGCTTTCTACTTGAGCCTTTGGTATCAGCTCCTCATTTTTCCCCTCATTCCCCGCTCCCCCCATTTCTCATGAACCCTTGATAATGTATAAATTATTATTATTCTGTCATGTCTTACACTGTCTGATGTCTCCCTTCACCCACTTTTCTGTTGTCTGTCCCCCAGGGAGGGGGTTATATGTAGATTCTTGTAATTGGTTCCCCTTTCTACCCCACCTTCCCTCCACCCTCCCAGTATCACCACTCTCACTGATCTCACCACTGAGTGGTTCATCTGTCCTGGATTCCCTGTGTTTCCACTTCCTATCTGTACCAGTGTACATCCTCTCATCTAGCCGGATTTGTAAGGTAGGTTTGGGATCATGATAGTGGTGGGGAGGAAGCATTTAAGAACTAGAGGAAAGTTGTATGTTTCATCGTTCCTATACTGTATCCTGACTGGCTCATCTCCTCCGTGCGACTCGGTAAGGGGATGTCCATTTGCTTACAGATGGGCTTTGGGTCCCCGCTCCGCACTCTCCCTCATTCACAATGATAAGATTTTTTTGTTCTTTGATGCCTGATACCTGATCCCATTGACACCTCGTGATCACACAGGCTGGTGTGCTTCTTCCATGTGGGCTTTATTGCTTCTGAGCTGGATGGCCGCTTGTTTATCTTCAAGCCTTTAAGATCTCAGATGTTATATCTTTTGATAGCTGGGCTCCATCAACTTTTTTCACCACATTTGCTTATACACCCACATTGTCTTCAGCGATCGTGCCAGGAAGGTGAGCATCATGGAATGTCAGTTTACTAGAACAAAGTGTTCTTGCATTGAGGGGGTGCTTAAGTAGAGGCCCAATGTCCATCTGCTACCGTAATACTACACCTATAGATACATGCACATAGGTTGACTTCTCCATCATCATATATAAATTACATATGTATATGCTTGTATTTAGACCTCTATAAATGCCCTTTGCCTCCTAGTTCTTTCCTCTATTTCCGTTGACTTTCCTCTTGTCCCACCATCATGCTTAGTCTTCATTTGGGTTTTAATAATTCCTCTCGGTTACATTGCCCTTGATCAAGCCCTACCAGGCTTCCTATACCTTCTTCACCACCGATTTTGGATCACTTGTTCCTTTGTCCCTGGGTTTGTTAACACCACTTCCTTTCCACCACCTCCCCCTCTCCCATGCCCCCCCCAGAACCATCGGTCCTGTTTTCTCCTCTAGATTGTTTATCCCGCCTATCTTATCCAGATAGACCTGCCGAGATAATAATATGCACAAAACAAGACAGACAAACAAAGCAACAAAAGAAAACAAAGCAACAACATAATTACTTTTTAGTTGGGTGTTTTCAGATGATTTGATGTTAATCCAGTCTTTGAATAAAAACTCCCTACTGTACCCCAGTAGCCAGTTAAGTTCTAATGTCAATACAAATGATTTTTGTTTAACCGACAGATAGTAAACAGATACTACATGGCAAGCACTCCCTCTCCCTAGGGTTTTACCTGTATAGCTGTGAACTTCAAAATCACTGTTCTCCTAGGTTTACTGCCAAGCGGAATAATGGATTAGAAAAAAGAGACAAAATCACCTCAGAGAGACTGTCAAGTCACAAAAATTGCCTATATTTTGAATGATAAGCTAACCTAAGACCAAAAACCTATTTAAGAATAACAGCCCATCTCCAATGGTAACAATTTGAAAGAGCTGCGATAGTTCACCAATTGCTAGTTGCCTACTAGCCATCCTGGCCCTCTTACTAGTGAGCTGAAAGGAAAGTTGCTCACTCCCCCACCCCTGCTCCCCACCCCCACCAATCCTTCTCTCTTCTTCCCCACCCAGCCCCACCCGTAGAGGGATATGTGTGGGATCCTGAAGGTAGAGGGAGGCATTCAATAAAAAGTATGACAAATTACTGAATGTTTATAGTTACTTGCTCAGATGTAAAATATAATGCAAAGCTTAAACTATACGAAATTATCATATTTTCTTAAGTTATCAAAATATAATTTATTTCTAAAGGTTTTATAATGTGAATGACATTTTATTTCAGGACAGATAACCACATTGGGCTAAGCCCTGTAGTGTTCTAACTTCTGTAAGAAGTAATATAGAATTAGTGCCCCCACCCATGTTATATGGACAAAGATGATTAAGCTATTTGCATGAATTATGTGATTTTACAAACAAATGAAAACCTGCACCATTAGAAATCTGCCTTCTAGAGGTAAAGCGCTATTTGACTCCACCAGCGAACCACTACTGTGCTATGTCCAATTTCTGTAAGATTTACTTCACACATCTAGTTCTAGAAAATTCAAAGGATGGCACTTAGTTCCTATGTAAAAAATAATCATTAGTAATTACCACGTAGCTACTATGTATCAGAAATAGCATTGTATATATAATAACAACTTACTTAATTTTCAGGACATTTCATTGAAGCAGACTACTTAACCCTCATTTTATAAACGAGAAAGCCGAAGCTTAAGGAAGTTAATAACTTACTTATAAGCCGACTCCAAAACTAGCCAAGGCACCTACTTTTACCACAAAAACTGCATTAAAATGTGCTGAAAAACTCAGCTTTTACACGAGTATAGATGGTAAGTTAAACCATGAGCCCTCTGGGTTTGTTGCTGTGTAATAATGATGACTTGAGTCTCGTCAAGATTGCTTTTACTTTGGATTATTCTCAAAAGAAATATTAGACAAGGTAGCCTTGGCTGACTAAAGTGTCCTCTAGTCTGGAAAACCTGAGAATTGTGGGCTTGCTGCCGTCAGCCCCGCCAGCATTCAAACTTATATTACCGTGTGCTACAATAATTCTGCTTCTCAGCAAGCCTTGAAATGGCAGCATTAGGGGAATCTTTCCTCATCTGAGCCATTGCCGTTGAACCTAGGATTTTCCCGTTTATATTCAATCACCTAATAAAAAGTGACGGATCTTAGATTCAAACTCATTCATGACTACAGCAAAATAATTGCTCTTGGTTGGTATAAGATATGA